AAAAGAAAAATCAATCATTTTGACCCATGCAATGTATTTTTGGCTATTGCTACAAATATACCCCAGCGACTTAAGACTGGTTTTGTGGTCCAGGGTCACATATAAGAGATCATCGTAGTAAAAGAATATCCAGTAAGTTTCAGAACTGAAAACATCCTTGTTACTGAAATAAATACTGAATGTGCCTACCTATGACGTAATAGATAGGTTAAACACCGCCTCCTAATTCTGTAGTCCCGCCCACTGATTCATGCATGACATAGTAGGGAAATAACATAAGTGTGGAGCTAAACCGGATTGAGCAACCAAGCAATAAACATGCCATTAAAGATTGCAAAAAGATCGCAGCACACTTATGTGAGCAAAAAATATTTGTACTATGTGTCACTATTGCTTTGTTCTGATTATGTGTACGTGTTTAACCAAAAAAAGTTAATTAGTTTACTAAAGTTAGTTTTTAGTTTACTATTCAAAACTGTTATCCAATCATAGCAGTGGGCGTTTACTTCCAAGTCTTCAGTGCGGCACGCCCATAAAAACCGAGCGTTTCTCGAGCCAGCCTCAAAACCAGGGTAGAAAACAACCTATTACTTGTTGATTTTGATGTTTTTGAATGTAAAAACCACACGAACGTCATAAGTGGACCTCAGACAACAGAATAAAATAATAAAAAAGCCAGTTTTCCTTTTCCACTGACCCCTTAGGCCACACAGGTCATTAGATGTGACCCAATAGCCAAATAGCTATAGCATTGTTTGATCAAACTCATATTACAGAATGCCCAGTTTATGATCTAAGTGATTCCTGATGGATAAAAGTCCCGCTCTACTGTACATTTTTTCTCATTAAATATACCTTTTCTCTCAAAAAAGTCACACTGAAGAAGTAAAATGTGTTGTGATTCACGATGATACATTCTAATAGGGATGCACCGATACCGATACTGGTATCGGTATCGGGCCCGATACTGAGCTCCTGTACTCGTACTCGTTAAAATGCCCCGATACCAAACGCCGATACCACACAGCATGTGATAAGTGCCATATTCAGACAAAGAAACACCGACAACAGACAGCAGAATGGAGTTATTAGAGATTAAAGATGTCTACGAAGTATATGTATGCAATGAATATAAAACATTCAGTATTAATGCCTGTATAGCTGATTTGCGCCAGCTGGTAAGCAAAGCACGCTGAGTGGATTGAGCGCGCGGCGGTGCAGATGCGCGAGCTTGTCGAGTGAATATCCCTTTCTCACAGACATCACTGGAAAGTTTATAGTTCGGTCGGAGATATCAAAAAGAAGTAAGTAAAACCATGCACAAGTTACTTAATGGTAGGGAGGGAGAGAGAGAGCGCGCGCACT